TTTATACTTTTGTACTCAAATTACATGATGCTTCCAGGTCTATCACAACTGATCCCCACATAAAAAAAAACAATCAATCAATCAATCAATCAATCAATCAATCAGTCAGTCAATCCACTACTGTTGAAAAGTTCGTGGTTGGTAAGATTTTGCTATGTATTTTAAAAAGTAGTTTATGCTCACCCAGGTTACATTTATTTGATAAAAAAAATACAGTAGAAACAGCAATATTGAGTAATATTATTACACTTTAAAAACATCAGGGTTTTTTTTCTATTTAAAATGTAATTTATAATTTAATTCAGCAGCCATTACTCCAGTCTTCTGTGTCACATGATGTCATTCATTCTAATATGCTGATGTGCTGCTCAAGAAACATTTCTTATTGTTATCAATATAAAAAAAAAAAAAAACAGCTGTGCTACTTAATATTTTTGTGGACACTGTGATATATATTTGGATACACTTTATAGTCCACCTTAGACATTTTACTAACTATAACTTTGCAACTACATGTCAATTAACTTTCATTAGAGTATTAGTAGACTGTTAGGTTAGGGTTAGTAGAAGTTGACACGTACACTTGTAAACTGGCTTTGCCTGCATGAGCACCACAGCTGAATTAGTCAGAGCACATATTGATAAAACTCTTTAATACACATAAAATGTATAGTTATTGTAATGCTAATGTATATGGAAGTCCATGTGTGTGTATGCAAGTGGCAGGTGTATCTAAAATAATACCAAACATCATTAGCTGAAGAGCAGCAACCCATTTTATAATTAATATTGTTTACTTGCATAGTTTGGTAATTAACTGGATGCCAGCAGGTATCTGTCTTAACTGCAACTAAGACATCATTGCTCTAAATGAATGAATGTCTGCGTCTTGACAAGCACCTGCTGTTCCCAAGACTCTTAAATATTGCCCACTCTCAACAGATGACACTACAGAAAAATAAAAATATAAAGCATTTATTTGCTCCTTATGCAGCTGCTGCATGGGGGCTATTAGCTTTGGCGGTTCATGGACACACAGCTAGACAAATATGGAGAAGAAACATAAACATTATATTCTGTTTTTCTCCAAACAGCTGACGTGCAATGTAAACTGGCTTCTGGATGATTTGATAAGCTCATTCTCACCATACCATGAAAAAGCACCAAGCAGACCGCATCCACAGATGAAGAATGAGGCTGCATGAATTCAGCGAGCGGCAGAAAAGGGAGTAAGCAAGAAAAGGAAGGCGAATAATAAAGATGCCAAGAGGAATGAGCCAACGTCCCCAGTGCCAGCTGTCCAGTCTATGTCGTTTGCTTGAGAGAGCTAATTTCTTTGCTGCGCTGTGGAGGTGGCAGCGTGGATGTAATTGCTGATTAAATGTCCGGGCACGTCCAAGCACCACTTTCACACTCCTGTCCCTCCAGTCTGAGGAAAAGTGGGCGTGTTTTGAACCCTTTGGAAATGAGCTGTGTTTGCTGTGAGACCGACACTGTAGAGAGGAAAGGTTACTGTACTTTGGTGTTCAGGGAGGAGCCGGCCCTGGAAAAAAACTTTTCAGGGGTGTTAAAACAGAAAGCGTGAGAAAGGGCCGCTCAGGGCCCATGGAGCATTGTTTCTGTGGAGATGAAAAGATCTGCCCGAGAATGAGTCTTCTTTTTTGGGGTTCCCACGGTCTTGGAAAACCTGGAAATATTCGAGAATTTCAAAAATGTAATTGGCTTGGATCAGTCGTGGAGATGTATAAAATCTATGAAAGGTCACAGAACTTTCTAGTGTTGTAGTTCTAAAATGTCTTTTCATCAATTAATTTTTGTGAGTGCAGTCTTCATAAAATGGACCCCTGATAAAAAGTGAGAAAGCCAAAGGAAGAGAGAGAGAGAGTCTTCATAAAATGATTTTTAAAAATCTTTTTAATCTTGGGAAAGTCTATACAGTCAAAAGTCTGTAAGTTCTTGATTGGATTTTTTTTTTTGAATAATAAATTATTCTAAATTAAAATAAATTCATAATAAATGAAAAAAATATTCACAATGACTGGAAAAGGCATGGAAATGAATAAAATCTTAATGTCACAGAGAAGTCTAATCAATATGATTTTTTTTTTCAATTTTTCTACTTTCTCTACTTAAATTATGTTTTTTAACTTTTATATATCCAGTGATAACAAACGACTGCAAAAGTTGTAAAATTATTGAAAGATCAAAGGATAGTCTAGTGTCCAAAATATTTCTTCAATTAAATATGATTTTTTTGAGAGTGCAGTCTTAATAAAATTATTTTAAAAATCCTTCACAAAAGCTGGATAATCATAGTAATCATAATCAAAAATCATAGTTAAATAAAGTAAAAATAGATAGATAGATAGATAGATAGATAGATAGATATGGGTACATTGGGTACATATCTTCAGCTAAAAATTACTGTTTGTGAACATGATTTTGAAATATAAAACAAAATAATTCAGTCATCACAAATGACTGGAAAAGCTTCTTAAATGTTAATGGAAATTTATATAGTCATTGTGAATTTTTCTTTATCTGAAATATTTATTAATCAGTATTCAATTGGTATAAAGCATTCAGCAATTGAAAAAGTCATGGAAATTCATTGGTCGGAAAGTGTGGGAATGCTGTTCTTTGCCATCAAGAATTTAAAGGGGAGGAATAGTAAAGGAAAGGGGACAGGGGGAGGGGACTGCTAAAATGGTGGGTCAAGTCTCCATTCCTGACAATGCCGGCCAGCATCTCAATGAGTAAAGTAAAAGATTACAAGCAGTTACTTTGTTGATCTCAAATAGCTTTTCTAATCAGTTGCAACAAACTTTTTTTTTTCCTCCCAGACCTTTCAAAACATATAATGCAAAAACTCTTAATGACAACATGGTGTGAATATCAATTTAGTGAGCAGCATTCCCCAGAAAAATTACACTTGTCAGGAACATAGGGAATTCCTCTGAGCAAAGACTGTCATCATCGTGCAGCTGGGGTGTTAGGAGACGGCGGTTAAGAGCTTGTGTGTGGTTTCTTGCTTCTACTCCTACTCTTTGTATGCCATGCAGCTCCAGGACTTTCTATTAAGCTGTCTCTGAACTCCAGGTTCAAAACTCAGAATGGATAAGTCAGCACAGTGGGAGAGAAGCTAAGATTTGATGGCACTGAATCAACTGAAAAAAGAAAGATGCTGTTTTAGAGTTTCTTTATAGGTTTTAGGGGGGCTTGCAAAACCTTATTTGGACTTGTGGACAACAGGAAACTTGAAAACTTGAGAGGAGAACATATGTGAAACATAACACAACTGCTGACTTATAAGTGGAAGTGGACTCATAATGAATGGTAATGTTGTGGTTAAGATGGCACAAGTCAATATAGTAACCAACATAGTGTAGTAAAAGCTTGTGTAGGCCAAGCTGCTCAAAAAATTATCTATTAGCTACTTTACAGAAAATATGTAAGCTAAAAGCTACTCTGTAGAGAAAGTAGATACATAGTTACACTACAAATACATTTTAAAAAGTAGAAGTAAAAGAAAAAATGACATTTTACTGTTTCATTTTGCAAGAAATTTATTTTCTCTAGATTATTTTTAACTATGCTTTTTATTATATTGTTACGTGCTTGATGTTAAAGAGGGATGACCGTAACATTTAAGTGAGACAACTGTTACTGGGTGTGGTACAGACCAAAGATGACACTGAAAAGTAGTACGTCTTAGAAGTCTTTACTGGACGCGTTGTGAAAGAGTACAAATAAATGAGATTTAGCACAAAAAGAGAAAAAAATAAGATAAATAAACAGAACAAAACAATCCTTATATTAACCCCTAAACTATCTAACAAAAAAAAAGAAATATGAAAATAAAAACGAAATCTGCAGCGTGTACGACGCCCGAACTAAACTCCTCTAAACTAAAAAAACAAAAGTACAAGGGTGGCGTAACACTCACCAACCTAATATAACAAAGTACAAACTAATCTAATCAAGAAACCAAAACAAACAATATCGTAACAATGATTGACTAGACATTCGAATCATCACCGAGAGACATGTTTGATTTAAGTAGCTCGATGCATTGGAATGCATTCTTAACTTTGAATTCAACACGTAGTAAGACTAAAACTCTATCACGGACATCAGCTTAATCTTTCACGTAGAATTCGATACAGGTCAATAGCCAAAGAACGAAACTGTAAATAGATCAAATCACACAGCACAAAGCATGACTCCATAAGACAAGATGCATTAAGCGTCAGGAGACAACTGGTGTCGAACATGAGACTGCTGACCGCGTTGGAGCACAAGGTAAGCTGGCGTGGCGCACACACACACAATCAGCTTGAGGCCTCAAATACAACTGGCATGTCAGCAGATTGGCAGAACATCATGACGTCAGAATGATGACTGACAGTCCAGTCAGCCAATACATTTTTTTTTTGGTGTTTGGCTTATTGTTATGTTAGAATCATTATTATACACAAATTTCCATAGTCTTGATGTGTGTTCGTCATTTCCATTTTATTGTATCCTCAAAGCCTGTGAGAATAAAGGGTTAGTTCACCCCAAAATGAAAATTAGCCCATGAATTACTACGGCTCCGGGGGGTGAACAAATGCCTGCTGTAGCGAATCGATTTGTTTTTGTAAGAAAAATAACCATGTTTAAAAAGTAATAATCAATTTAATCTAGCTTGCACCCACTGTTGTACACGGAAGCAGCTCCGGGTGGATGACGTAGGACGTCCCTTTGCTCTTGTAAACAAACGTTGGTTTTCACGAGACTCACTGGCATATGCGCAACGCCGACATCTTACGTCATCCTCCCGGAGCTGCTTCCGTGTACAACTGTTGGCGCAAACTAGATTAAATTGATTAGTATGTTTTGAATATGGATATTTTTATTACAAAAACGCATTGATTCGCTACAGGACGCCTTTGTTCACCCCCCGGAGCCGTGTGAGGCACTTTTTATTATGGATGGATGCGCTTTATTTTTTGACATCTTTTCACTCTGTTTCTGTAGGTATGTATAAACTTTTCAGTGTTCAGTGTTATTAAACAAATTATAAATCTAACAAATGAACAAATTGTTAATCTCACAGTAAGTGGAAACATTTTCAACATACCACTGCATGCACAACGTGTAGAAACTACTCATTACTACAACTTACTCTTCATCACACACATGACAAACATAATGTTCATATCCTTCGGTGCATAACTCATGTGCCCAACCATCACAAAAAACACATTTCACCCATTTCTCTCCAGGTGCAGAGGTTGTAAAATCCTCACCACACACAAGACAGTTCTCTGAGTTACTTGCTTTACTTTGCTTTTTCACACCAAGGCTTCTTTTCTTTTGAGCCGTATTTTTGCTCTTTTTTATCTCTTCCTCTGCAACGACTGGAGTGTCTGTGAGGATGGTACTTGTTGCCCTCTTTCGGGGCTTGGCAACTGCTTTTCGTGGAGGAGCCTTAGGGAAGGGCCTGACTAAAGCAGGATTGAATTCAGGAACAGAGGAGCCCTGGTGGAGAGCGGAGTAGTGAAGAACGGAGGAGCCCTGGTGGAGAGCAGAGAAGTCCTGGTGGAGATCGGAGTAGCCCTGGTGGAAAGCGGACCCCTGGTGGAGAGCGGAGGAGCCCTGGTGGAGAGCGGAGGAGCCCTGGTGGAGAGTGGAAGAGCCTGGAGAGGATGTGGTTGGCTCTGGTGGAGAGCAGAGGAGCCCTGGTGGAGAGCGGAGGAGCCCTGGTGGAGAGCGGAGGAATCCTGGTGGAGAGCGGAGGAGCCCTGGTGGAGAGCGGAGGAATCCTGGTGGAGAGCGGAGGAGCCCTGGTGGAGAGCGGAGGAATCCTGGTGGAGAGCGGAGGAGCCCTGGTGGAGTGTGGCAGAACCTGCAGAGGATGTAGTTGGCTCTGGTCTGTCGGTTGCATATGCAGGAGCAAAGTCATTTTCTCCAAACACATCAGGGCTGTAGGGCCAGATGCCAGTGCACCTAGATAGATAGACAAATAATTTATTCATCCTGAAGTACATTAAGGATTTTTTTTCTAATTGATAGGTACCTGAAACCTGACATGATGTTCTCAGGCGTTGCTGCCTGTGGCAACGCTTTTGCAACAATCCCAGGGAGGTCGTATATTGTGGCGTTCTGGCCAGGGTGAGCTTTCATCCAGTGGTCCAGGTGCGTGTTGACCCTCCCTTTGAAAGAGCGAAAAACTGTTCTGTCCAGGGGACAGAGCTTATGAGTGCAGTGTGGCGGAAAAGTAAGTAGAACGATGCCCCGTTCCCTACAGAAATCCATGGCTGGGACAGACAGGTGGGACACGTGATTGTCCAGTAAGAGAAGTACCTTGGAGTCCAGTGAGGGCTTCGTATGGTTGGCAAAGTGGAGGAGGAACTGCAAAAATTCCTCTGCCTGCATCCAACCAGACCCATTTGACCCATTTGCTGATGCAGGTGGCCCTTCATGGATGAAGTGAGAGTAAAATCGTTTGCGGGGAAAAACAAAAAAAACAAAAATCGAATTCCCCAGGGCATTAATGGCCACTGCAACGGTCACTAGCTTACCCCTTTCTCCAGAGGTCATTGCTCCAATCTGGCGTATTCCTTTTGTGGCTATTATCTTCTCTGGGGCCTGCACTGTGGTCACACCAGTTTCATCCATGTTCCATATATCATTTGGGGTAAAATTGTGCATATTGTAGACAGTGTGTAAATTGTTGAAAAAAATTCCCACAGTGTGAGCATTAAAACTAGTGGCTCTCGCCACACTGGTGGCCTGTGGTTTTCTGATCGAAAGAGATCGGTTCCTTTTGAGGAAAGCAGTGAACCAGTCTTTGCCCGCCATTTGCGTTTTAGACCAGGATTCTGGGAATGTGCAGTGGAACTGGACAGCACATTGGAATGCAAGTTTTCTGACCTGAAAAACAGGAACATAAAAAAGGGAAAATAATAATAATGTCAACTAGATTAATTGCTTTTACATACATCACACAAGGCATCCTAAAATGTCTTAATTGTGTATAAACTGTATACACACTACCAGTAAAAAGTGAAAATTTAGATTTTATAATGGGAATAAATTCTATTTAAAAAAATATTCAAATAGAAAGCAGCTATTTTAAATAGTAAAAATATTTCACAATTTTCTTGTATTTTGGATCAAATAAATGCAGGCTTGACGAGCAGAAGAGAATTCTTTAAAAACATAAACATAAAAAATATTTTGGTACTGGTAGTGTATATATGTATATGTACGTGTGCATGTATATAGTCTATGTATGTATTTATGTGTGCATCTATGTGTGTGTAGGCCTATTCACATATTAATTCATGTTAAGCATTCAAACAAACTGACCTACCATTTTTAACAGAAACAGGCACTTGAATGTACGAATAGAGCAATAATTCTTCTTATCTTATCCTTATTTCCTAACTTATCCTAGCTTAACCAGCTTTACCTCCTTGGGGCTCAGCCCATAACATATTGCTGCCGCATGGGTCAAATAAGCAACAAGCTGCTCCTCTTGCTCTGATGTGAAGACCTTTCTGTGTGGCCAGTAGCCCACTGGAGGTAGTGGTGAATTTTTACCCTGATGCTGCTCCTGCAGTTTTCGTTTACGAACGACAAAGCGGTGTAGAGTTACATGGCAGATGCCGTAAGTATTTGCCACACTCCGTACGGACCTGCCTCTCTCCACCTCCCTGGCTGCTAAACTCAAAACTTCCCTAGTCACTCCCCTAGTTGTGGACCTTCTACGATTTCTCACCCTGTGAACAAAAGAAATGCAACAAGTGTTTGTACAAACTATTTAACCTCCTGAGACCTGGGAAGAATTTTTTAGGGGAAAAAAAATCGTTTTTTTTTTTCATGTCATTACATTGATCAGAGCATTAAAAAAAAAAAAAAAGTTAAACATTTTTTTTAATAGGCCTATTAATGTGTTTTTGGGGCAACATGTAATGAAAAAAGAAGTGTAATTATGGGAGTAATAATTGACAAGATTTTCATAATAAATATTTAATAGAATATTGAAATATAATTTCTTTCCCTATTCATTTGTTGTGTCTCCCAAAACATGCTTTCAGTCCTCATATGAGGACATGTA